GGCTGGCATGTGGTGCTGGGGGATTGAACCCCGGTCCCTGTGCTTTGTTAAGCTTGTTCTAAGTAGGTGCTTTAGACCACTGAGCCATCTCACCAGCCCCTAATTTCTTGATGGGCTCTGATTACTTAAATTTTGCTCCTGCCTGAGACGTGATGTGATCCTAGGGCTCCTATCAACTTTCTCCTAGCAGCACTCTCCCCACAGCAGACCTAGGGAGGAAAGAATAATGAGGGGTGATCTCAGATTACTGCAGGCCATTAAGCTGAGCTTTCTGTGCTACTGGTGGGCATAAAAATATAAAGGGGTGACGTTAAGGCAGCCAGCAGTCGGCCTCCTTCCCCCACACCCCTTTCGATGTTCCTGGATATGCCAACCACAACTGTGCTGCAAAGATTTAACCTTGACTGTCTGCTTCCGGTTGCTTACGCATATAGCTTCGTTTCAGCTTGCTTCAAGGACTCTACACCCTGCCCGGCAAAGGACGCTTGATGACTCCCCTTCCCCATTCCTGCCTGCTCTATGAAGTCCCTGCCTCTGCAGCCCTCGCTGCTGTTCAGGTCCACTGAGCAGCCGGGCACATGCTAATTGCCGTCAATAAACCGCTTCTTTCATGCCGGCTAACATGAGTGTGGTCTTGTGTGGGTTCGAGGATGTCTTTTTTTCCTGACAGTTTTCCTGTCCAGTGACATGCTCAAGAAGATCATAAATTCAGTCTTGAGAGCAGGAAGCTTGGGATGTCCGTGGAAATGCCGAGAGGGGAGCTTGGCTCGGCTCTGGAGGCCAACTGGGGTTAAATTAGAGATCTGTGATAAACTCAGGTTTGTGCATTACTAGTGCGGATTTGAAACCCTTGGAGGCAGAGGAACTTGCCTTGGGGGAGTATTACTAGCATGAAAAGAGGGGCACAGTGAGAATTTCTTAAGTTTAGGAATTCTGTAGAAGCACCTCCAAACGATAGAGTGGACAGAGTCCGAGGAGAGACCCGGTGCAAAGGGAGGGTAAGAGAAGCGCAGGGCCGAAAGTGCGCACCCTTCCTTCCTTCCTTCCTTCCTTCCTTCCTTCCTTCCTTCCTTCCTTCCTTCCTTCCTTGCTTCCTTCCTTCTTTCTTTCAATATATTTGGTACATGGACTCACTAGGCAGCTTGGACTCACAGTGATCCTCCTGTCTCAGCCTCTCCAGCGCTGGGATTACAGGCCTGCGCCACCATGCCTGGACTCTGTGGCCAGCTCAGCGCACCCCTGGGGCAGGGCTGGCATGGCATGTGGTGTTGCGGAGCCAACCCCGGTCCCTACGCTTGCCTACGCAGGCACTTAGTCGTTTTCAATGGGTGAAGTGTCGCAGTCCTGACTATGTAAACTCCAGATTGACTGAGCGTTGTGTCACACCAGCAAATGGCACTTCTTAAGATGCCAGAAGTTTCTAATCTGGAACAGGAGCACTGCACAAGTAGTATCTTCACTTCGTGGGTGACAGAATTAACTCGGTAAGGGAGGAAGGGGAACACGAAAGACAGCCTGAATACACACAGTTGTTTCTGTAAGGCCTCATGGATTTGGTACAGTCCAGCCAAAAATACGGAGCATCAGAGGGGATTCTGGTGAAATCTGTTAGTAAAACTAAGAATCGGCTACTTATACAAGCTCACCACCTTGAGTCTATCGCACAAAACGTGGTGCCACCCAGAACTACTGAATTGTGGTCTTCCTTTTATCAATATGCTCAGGTAATCCAGAGATACATTAAAAACTGATTTGGATTAATGGAAGAACATGAGAAAGAGCTTGTAAGTTTTCAGTTGAATGTTGGTATTTTCTCTTATCTTTCCAAGTTCTTGCTTTCAGGACATCGTTTCATTTTTATTTCATCAATCTTTCTTTAATGAACTGTTTTGAGGTACAGTTTTCAACCAAGAAAAAGCAGCCATGTGAAATCCAAACTACACAAAGATTAATGAAGGTGTATTTTCTGGTACCACAAGCATAACGAAAAAGAGAACATTTTCATCATCTCCCCCAAATCCCTGAGCTCCTTTAGGGTCAAGAGCCTTTACTGCCTAAAGAGCCTTTTAAGAAACTACAGATTTAGTTTCTGTCATTATAGATTAGTTTTGTCTCTCAAAGAACTTTATGGAGATGCAAACCTTCCATAGTTTTTCTTTTGTGTTTGTCTTCATTTCTGAAGTGTGATGGTTCTGACACTCGGGATTTATTAATTATTTCTTCTTTCCTATTGCTTTCTTTGCTTACATCAGAATTTATCAGTCCACAGCTTGACAGTTTATGTCAAGTTGTTGGTTATTTTGAAGAAAACTACTAAGACCATTATTGATGAATGCTATGACTTAATTGCTATAAATTTTATTGCATCTTGAAGTCAAAAACATAATCTTCCAAGGGCCGGCCAAATAGCTCAGTGAATTAAAGCACCTATAAGCAGGCACAGGGGCCAGAGGTTCGATCCCCGGGCCTGCAGTGCTGGCCACACCCCCGGGGTACGCTGATACAGAGATTGAGACTGGGCGTGGTAGTGCATGCCTGTAACCCCAGCTCCTGGGAGGCTGTGAACAGGAGGATCACTAAGAGTCTGATCGAGTAGTGAGACCCTGAACACCCTGTAGACCCTTCCCTAAAATACAGCAAAAAAAAAATCTTCCAAATATATTTTTCTCGTTCCCATTGTTTGATCTGTGCCTGGTGCCTTTCATATTTGCATAAGTTTTAGACTCACTCTATCATCCGTATGCGCATGTCTATGCTTCTATTTCCATTCACAAAGCTTTCTATTATTTTATAATTTAGAATTTATACCTGAATGAGTTGCTCAATTAAGCATGTGTAAATAGCCTCGTGGAAAGTCCTGTAATTATTTTCAGCTCTGCTCCTAGCTATACAAACTTGTGGAAATTTCAATGATTTATCACCTTGTAGTCACCGATGCTGCTCATGGCAATGTAGGGAGGACAGCTGGATGCTGAGATCAACCAGAATATGGTGTGTCCCACGAACAGAAGTGGGTTCACATCTATGTCCTGGAAAACAAAGAGTACAGTAGACTGAGTAAACAAATC